CGAACCCCCGAAGCCCTAAACCCCNNTAATACAACATAACATAATATAATATAACATAATATAATGCAATATAACATAATATAATGCAATATAACATAATATCATATAGTATAACATAAAATAACATAAAATAAAATAATATAACATAACATAACATAATGTAATATAATATTATATAATTTAACAAAAAATGAAAATAATATAATATAACATAACATAATGTAATATAATATAGTATAATATAATATAATGTAAACCCTCACAGGGCCCTTCTCCCTCGCCTGTCGTCGGCGCAAGGCACGCAGGAGACGCCGCTCAGCCCAGCAGCTGCCCTCGAAATGTAAGAACCCACCGGAGCACTTAGCAGAATTGTTGGGTTTACATCTTCTTAGTTGCAATCACCCGCATCTTCTTTGGGGGGGGGCGCTTTGAGGGTTTCGACATTTCTCTTGAAGGTTTGGAGTACCATAGCCACCCGCCCCACGAATCTCATCCAAAGATCACCACTACCTCCACATGACAAGACCGAAAATGGTGCTCGACTGATAAGGGGGTATGTATGTAATACACTTATTGCGCAGTATACGCCTTCGATCACTTCGAGTATTCACAGCACGTCATTGGATGCCGATGTTGTGAAGATGCCCTTGTGGTTCGGCCTGGAAGTCTTTCTGGACTGGAGTTCCGTCACTCTTGACATATAACACACCTCTTCTCACAATCAGGTAGGTAGCAAGCAGTGCTAGTTCGTGACTAGTTTATGAATATGATCATGTGTTACCGCTTTGCAACTTTGCCGCAGTGTATTATCGGGCAGGTTGTAGCAAAACGAATCCTCAAATCACAGACAACATGCCTCTGATACACCTGCGGCAACGAAAGAAACCATTCGCATTAGGACCTGAGGCAAAATGTGCTACTTTTGAAGATAGACCGCTCCTCCCACAACAGAACAGAGAAGGGAGTTCCATGACTGTAAGGAGTTACGACACTCCTAAAGGAGTAGACCGGTTGACGGCACAAGTACAAGAGCGACATGTCAAGTTTCTGCTTTCTTCGGAGCCTGTATGGGTGAAGCTTGAATTGAAATCTGCAGTGCTCCTTTCGTGAGAACTAGCTGTACATGATCCACCCTGATGTGGATGTACAGCTACGTTTGGCGATTATTCCTGCCAGAAGTGCATCAGCGTTATGACGGACCAACACCATTCCGAGGATCACGCTCTGTTCACCCCCAGGCACAGAACAGAAATGCAGAACAGTGTAACAGATTTCTCGACTTCCATAAGAAGTTCCATCACGCACAGAACTATGGCAGGATCCAGGGCCAATGTATTGGATGTTACAATGAATTTGTCGTCGCGGCGGACAGAGACTGTGCAAATCTTGGGCAACAACGCGACTGTAGCGGACAGTGGCTGACAACATCGAATCACACAAAAAAAAAAAAACCTTCAGTCTCAGCACGCTTCCAACAATGATGTTCACAATAACCCTAACCAGTAAACAAGCTTTCAATCATGATAGTTGTTGGAACTGACGGACGCACAGAGAAGAGAACAAGTAGTGCCAGCTGGTTTGAAGGTGGACAGTACGTGGAAAAGCTGACGGCAAAAAAAGTGCCAGAAGGCACCAAGTCAAAACAGTCCCAGCTGGATCGCCTCCGGAAGCTTTCGAAGTGCTGCTTCCGCACTGTTGGTACGCTGGTAAACCTGACAACAATCCGACAAGTGCCAGAGATTTGACACGCCTACTGCCACTACACACCAGCAGGGAGGAGGTTGTGCTTAAAGTCTCGCCTTTTCGTACCAGAACTTCGCTCGAGCACACGGTGTGTAGTTGAGCTGTGATGACATGTACTCTCACATGGTCGTTGACAACGCATGACAAAGGTGGAGAGTAGATCAGCTGGCCTCTGCCCACTTCGGCATTCGGCCGCTTCCCTGGATTATACCACCAGCGCACATCGTGTAGGGATGCTATGTATGTGACAAACTGCAGTTGCTGCGACTGTGCAGCAGTTCTACTCGCAAAGCTGTTGAGGTTCTGGTTGTTGCCAATCGGTTGGGAACTGCGGCTGACGACTTGCTTCGGAAGAGCACCTTCTCACCGCTATGCTGGCGCAGCAAAATATCCACCTCAGTTCGACGTTCTCATGACTTGATGCTTCAGACGCTTTTGCGGTTTTTACGGCCGTGAAAATGTGGAGCCCAATCCTGTGCGATGATCTCTGCCTGGCTCTGGCGAATCTGTCATTCAGTCCCACTGATGGTATGCCGTGCTTGCCAAGCCACGCCGCGAACGTAGTCTCCCTGGCGCAACAAGAACACGAACACACGGCAGGATCGACTCTGTTGCAAAAAACTGAACAAGCTTTACAGTACGGGTCAACCTTGCATTGAACCATCGCAAGGATCAAAATGTACTGCCCAACAGTGCAAGAACCCCTAGCCCTAGCAGCCCCAGCCCTAATCACCCAGGGACCCTTTAAGCAGCCCAGCCGTGGCATCCCACCAGAACACGGTAGCCCCCGAAATATGCGAGGGACAAGAGTACGATTCTTGGAGATTGAACCGCGAGTCGAACCCAAAACTTGCACAGTTTTGTGGGTGGAGGTATTGTGCTTAGACTATAGCGATAGGGGGCCTTTAAGTGGGGAAAGAACGCCATTCTGGCCGCTGAGGTGCCCTATCCAGGTTGGAAACGTGCGGGCCTACCGGCGGAGGCGCCTCGCGCTTAAAGAAAGCATACTATAATTTTGTATGTCATACGGTAATATTCTATATTATACTATATTATTAGATACATTATTCTACAATCCGCCGACCCCTGCGGGGACGAAGCTCAGAAGTTGTGTTACCGGCTCGGTTTTCGGGCTCGCTCACTTCACACGGGATTTCGCTGCACGAGTTTACCGGCTTTCTTGGCCTGTTCTCATGTTTCTTGGTGGTAGTTGAGTGTGATTCTACTCCACTTCGATGCATGCCCGACCCCTCCAAAGACACGCTCACCAAAAGACACACCGCCCGCCACCCTGCCCGCTTGGGCCTTCCGCGGCTTGTTTTCATGGTATTTATTGGTGGTAGTTTAGCGATTTAATTCCGCTCCAATGCATGCCCAACCCCTTCCAAGACACACCGCGCACCAAAAGACACACCGGCAGGGTGATTTAATTCCATTCCAATGCATGCCCAACGCCTCCAAAAGACCCACCGCCCGCCACCCTGCCCGCCCCGGCCTTCCGTGGCTCCCCACGGTACTAGTGGGGCACCCGTGGACACCAAGAGCGCATCCGGCGAGCCTCATGAGCACCCTGCGCGCCCGCAGCAGCCCAGGCAGCGCGAGGCGATGTTTTGCCATTTTCAGAGGGGGTTGCGGAAGCCCCCAAAGGGCGCACATCATCAGCATCAGCGGGGTGTGGGAGATGGAGTGGAGAGAGGGGCGGGGATGGACTGCGGGGATCCACGGGGGCGGGACAAGGAGAAGAGTCGCAGGGAAGCGTCGCGCGCGGGGTGGGGCGCTGTGTCTGCAGTCGCGCCCGGCTAGCTCCGGGCTGATACCTGCGCTGCCCGCCCGTGGGCGCAGCCCCTAGAATCTACTATAATAGGTACCCAAATCCCTTTACATCTAACGTCGGAGCCCATATAGTGTGATCACGCTGCGTCAATGCACGAATAAATGTGCATGGATGCTACACATAAACACATGCAGACGGGCAGAGAGGCAAAACGTCAGACAGACGGACGGACGGATGGACAGACAGACAGACAGACAGACAGACAGACAGACAGACAGACCCGCTCTGTCAAGCACGGAGACATTTTGTGTATGTGAGTGAATTATATATGTATATGCCGGTATACATACATACAGTGTATGTCTGTGTTTGCTGATGTAAAACGCACATATGTTGTGGCAGACGCACAGCAAAGTTGATTTCAGAATCATGAGCTTGACAACCCTTGGCACACATGTGTGCGTGTGTGTATGTATGTATACACACACAGATTCGTTTGTTCCAGATAATTGGTTGGTTAGTTATTTAGTTAGTTAGTTAGATAGTTAGTTAGTTGGTTAGTTAGTCAGTTAGTTAGTCAGCTAGTCAGTCAGTTAGTTAGTTAGTTAGTTAGTTAGTTAGTTAGCCAGCAATCCATTTATCTGTTTATTGACTTGCTTATCTACTTGTTCATATTAACTTAGTGGTTGCTCTGGGAAGTGCTTGCCTGGGGCGGTGCAGGCATGGTCCTTTTCCTCCTGATTACATGCCCCCTTAGAAGAAGAGCACATATTGAGGTCATAAGAAGGGGATCGCAGGACTGAATAAGATTGTTATGGTGATCATAGATGAGACTGACCCGTCTCGGAGGCTTGTGTAGATTCTTCTTCGAGTCAAGCCAAACACCCTGTCTGAAGAATTGAGCGGCTTTGGACTCTGCATGAACCCATTTCGCCAATGGGTTCCTTTGCTGTGTCTCCTCAGGGTGTTGTCACACTTGCTTCAGTCTTGTCATTGTAACTAAACCCTACACCCTAAATCCTTTTCACTCTCCGGAGCACGCGATGACTTGAAGCGACTGGGAGCGTGCACTGCGCCCACTCTAACTCTACAGGTATGTGTATACAATACATACATATGTCTATGCATATATCTGTATAAACATGTGCACACACACACATATATATATATATATATGCATACATATACATATATATATATACGTATATTTTATATATATATACACATATACATACACACACATATATATATACACACAGATACCCAACAATTGTAATATGAGCATATACAGAATCACATGCAATAACATACGTATACACATACATACATACATACATACATACATACATACATACATACCTACGTACATACATACATACATACATACATACATACATACATTTGCATACATGCATATACATACATACGATGTATCTGTTTGTTCACTTGCGGATTCATGTCTTTGCTATCTTATGCTACTGTATCATATCGAAAATGTCGGAGACTCCGCCACAGCGGAGAGTGCCAGCTGGCTAGACACTGCATCCTTCAGCAGTTCTGGCGTGGACACATCACGAATAAGATCCGCCGCCGTAATTCCTCTGGAATTCGGTGTGTCCAGGCTAGCACCAAAAGAAATAAGAGGAGATGCTGCCTCGAAGTGCCCGACCAGCAACGCAACCATTAGCGGGGTTGCCCCATGATGGTGATAGCCGAAGGTGCGCAATCTGGTTGGACGTCTCCAACGGAATTCCAGGCCTTTCATATAGCAGAACAGCCCCAACATGGTCAAAGGCTTGGGGCTCAACTGCTCGTTCACATCGGCCCTGGCGTGAATCAACTTGGCAACCATCGTCTCTGTGCCTCCCTGTATAAGAGTGGCTGCATGCAGAGAGCCTGTCAAATCAAGGCTACCTTCTCCCAGTTTCAGGAGCATATCCACTGCATCACATGCACCTGTTGCGCAAGCATGCTGCAGTGGAGACATACCGAGAAGATTCTTGCCATGAATGTTTGCTCGGGCTTGACAGAGCAGCTGTATGCCGATAGCATTGTTCCCAAAGCATGCAAGGCACATCGGAAGATTCGTACCTCTGGGATTGACATCGGCACTCGCCGCAAGCAGCACCATCACAACATCATTATTCTGGAAGAGAGCGGAAATGGCGAGCACGCAAGCCTTCCTCGACAAAGCCAGCAGCGGCTGCCCCTTCTTGGTTTCATCGTTCGGGTTGGCACGCCTTTCCAGCAGAGCTTTCACCAACGCTGCATTCCCATTAAGAGCGGCGTAGCAGATCGGTGACCATCCCATTGCATCATACTCACACACCTGGGAAAAACCATTCTGGAATAAGAACCGCGCAACCAAGAGCGACCCAGCATCATCAGACTCATGCTGAGAGGAATCGAAGCCTGGGACAACATCTGTGATTGTCTCCATCGGAAGGCCTCTGCAAAAGATTGCTTGTGTGTTGAGCACGACACGGTAGCCGGCCAAATCTCCATTCTGCAGGCACTGTGTCACTTTCTGCTTCAGCACCTGTTTAACCACTGGAGCGATTTTTGAGCGATCCTCTTCCATGGTGAAGCAACCTTCACCTGGAGAGCTCTCACAGGAAGCTGCAAAGGATGATACGACCAGCTCTACATGCCTGGCACTCTTCACCATGAGGAAGGAGCCATCTCCGGAACACTCTTTGACAAGCCTCTCGAGTCTGCACCACCCACCTTAGCTCCACAGCTGAACATTGAACAGTTAGTCGCCCTGCACTGTACCCACACCTCGCCCCGACAGCTCGACCCGCCGAAACTTCAGGGAAAACCTAGACAACTGAGGCTGAAAGTAACATGCAAGCCACGACCAGCCCAACTCGAAGGACTTAAGAGTGCCGTGGTATCGTTATCGCAGCTTTCAATGACTGGGCAGAGCACAAACATCACCTGACACTTGGCGACGTACGCAGGGATGCTGTTAATGGCTTTTGCCAGTTCACCGTGTCGCTGGTGCTCATGCTGCGGACAGGAAAAATAATCGTACCAGATGTACAAATCCGCTGGATCCAAATGCTGCGCTGCCGTTTTGGGGGATTTACCGAAGATGATCTCGGTGACCACGTCCACACTAATCTGCGTGACCCCCGACAAGATATTTCGCAAGGCATCTTGCAAGACTCGGAATTGCCTGTGATCTGGATCTGGATGATGCTTGGCCACCCACTGGTGGGAAACAAAAGCTGCGCGCCCCGTGTTCTCGTCGAACAGAGTGAGGGCTCCGTCTGCCAGCAGCTCTTCGTGCGGCTGGATTTTCACCATCTGCAAGACCGCCGCCAAGTCAATGGTGTACATGGGAAAATACACTGGACTGGCCTGTCGGCAGAGTTGAAGGATTGGGCGGGGGTTGGACTATCTCAGTTGTCAGCTCAAGCGCCCTGCAAACGCCAACTCCGACTACCTCTGCCGATGGTTCATCCTGTATCATCGCATGTCGACCCCCTGCCTCTAAGGCGGATGTCCCCTCAAGTGTCTGCGCATGCCGCACCAGTGCCGTGTCAGGTGGAAGAGATGCCAAGCATGGCAAGCACGACATGAAGGATAAACGATGGAAACACTGGTTTGAGCTCTGCTTTAGTGGCAGCCTCCGATTGGCTTTCGTTCGTATCCAAATGATACAGGCACAAAGCCTGCAACGTTAGTCACAACTCTCCCGGGTGCGCAAACAGCACCGAGCTTGAGCAGAAGCATGCGACGGCCGTCTACTGCGACCCTCGATTTGTGCACACGGCTAGTTCGCAACAGGCTCTGAGTCAAGCCCAGTTCGGCCTGGAGGTATGCCAAGCCGAGGAGGTCACTGCGGACACCGCCTTTGCCAAAACGCTGCATGCCAACCTGAGTCACAGCACAAAACAGCACTCACGCTGCTCAACTACTTGCCAAGGCCCTTCGGTCCTTGAGCTTTCGAGCTGAAGCCATGGCGTAGTTGATGAAACCCTTCGTCTTCAGGGACTCCACTGCTGCTTTCACCTTGAGCGGTTCTCGTCGTGGCGTGAGGCCGACGGCAGAAAACCCCACAGGATGCCCCAGGCAAACAGGCCTCCTCGGCACTGGCCTGGATGCCACGGACCTTTAAGTCTCGTCACCCGTCGTCGGGAGTTTTGAGTTGTCGGGGTAGGTGCTCTACTCAGACAGCATCTCGCGTTCCACGACACTCTCGGAACATGTCAGGCAACGAAAGTCGCACCACCAGAGGTGGGACTGTGTTCTGATCTGGCAAGAGCACACACTGGTTTCGTGACGAGCAACCTATCAAGAAACCACTGATTCGGCGAAGCATGCGGACGAAATTAGCATATCCAAAGGGCAGTCATGTTGTCTCCGCATGTGGTAAAGGCGGAACCGTGCTGAGGTGCCAGCTCTAAGAATGAAGCGATTGCCTGTGCAAGCACAGTACACTTGCAGAGGATGGGTTGCTCGACAGCCCGAACCAAGTAGAGTGGATAGCTATTGCATCAAGGCGATGGTGGCGACTAACACTCTAACTCAACCTGACAGCTTCTCCCGAAATTCCAAAACAATGCCTTCTGAAGCCAGAGGTAACTCCATCCCCAGCCTTTCAAGCGTCCTGGCACGAGAGGTCGACGGCTGCGTCGCACACGACCCACCCGTAAACTGCACAGGAGCAAGGGCTCAGATTTGTTTATTCAGCCTGTCACTTTCTCTGGTGGTGATCCATTTGTTTTGGACATGACTTGCAACAAAGATGAGCGACATTTGCATGGATAGGCGGGTCACTTGCGACTTCTG